CTCTATGACGAATTAACGTTTACCTTCTACCAGAATGACTATAGAACAGACGTAAATAAGCATATACTGCTTGTACGTGCATGTATTACATGCTACATGCTCATCATCATGCTTTTGCAACCCTGCCTTTGTACCCAAAACATCGACATGTGTCAAGAACGTTCATGAATCAGAAACCAAAACAGTACTTGTCAGCTAGGAAATGTTAGGACCACTACTCCAGCTTTGACTCTACTCAGAGTGGGCTCATCATCTTGAAATTCGAGGTCGCTGCAGGTTTTACTTCGGATTCACAAGTGGTGCGTACTCGCTAAATCCGACCTACGCTATTTGAGTAATTAAATGAAGATAAAAAATTTTTTAAGTAAACTGACATTTGTAATCTTTAGTCCAAATTAAGTCCCTAGACCCCTTTGGAAATTTCTTTTTGAAGAACCCATACTACTTTGAAACGTATTGGGGCAGTTTATAGCAAAAGCTTTATCGTAATATTGAATGCTTTCATAGCACTGTGCTATGCTAGCACTACATATTGCGTAATCGTCTTCATCAGCATAGCACACTGGAAACTGCGTAAACAGTACTCTTTATACCGCTTAGAAATTCATAATCCTTTTGCTACATGATTATGATCAATATGATTCCTAAGTACGCTTGAGCTCCTCGTCAGCAACATAAGTGTTGTTTTAAGTAATGTAAAGACAGGCGAATTTCGTAGTGATCGGTTAGTTGTTCACGTTAGTAGAGCCTCGAACTCACAGCAGGAAGATCATGGGTTCCTCTGGAGTCACTCGCCTTTTACTCATCAGAGGTATAAGAATGACTACCCCTCTGAGAACAAAAGCAGCGAGATGCATGCTATACTTTCCACATAGTTGTAGACATTGCTGTTAAAATATGGTACTCATGACGAATGGCATAGAAACGGATATTTGTTTCGTATCATCAGCTGCAGGAATTGAAGGGTGCTATCATGGAAGTGCAAGGATGATTGATTTCACACAGTTATAGCCTTTCTTTCTTTTAATGTATATGTTTACATGAACCCTTTGCTGTTGCGATTTTATATACATTTACTTGCTTAGTGCTGACGGCTTATAGAGCACTACTCTCTCCGCAAGCATGCATTGTTCTGCCTCTTGTTTACATGAACTCTGGTTAGTTGGCGCCTAAGACCAAGTACTTTCTATGTTATTTGAATCTGTCAATGGATAATCGTTTAGTGTTGGCAGTGTTAACCTCCAGTTG